TAGCAGGGATGTGAGGCTGGCAGCACCGGGCAGGGTTTCGTTGTGTTGAACACGGGGTTGCCAGGCGCCAGAGCCAATTCGACACCTAACATCTGAAGGTTAATAAAATCAAACCTCACCATTAAAGAGTTCATAAAATCCAACCTCACAGTAATTTACACTCAGCCAAAATGCCATGTTACAAACAAACAAAATTCCAGACTACCCGACTTCTGAAAAGAGTTAATGACTACTGTCTGACTCTTGTAAAAAGTTATCTCATAGGGGCACCATATGATCGCAAGGAAGGAGCAGGCCGATCACGAGACTTGGCTGACTGGATTCTACGACGTTTTAAACCCTGAGACAAAGGAATGAGGGGTTCGGAGAGAAGAATAAAAAGGCCCTAACTCCGACAATCGCTGGCTGGCCTCTCCAGCGCAGAGCCAGCCCCTTTGCTTTGATGCCTGCATCTCTTAAACAAACTCTCCCTTTTCTGTTTCTCTGGCCTGGTTTCTCTCGGCTTCGGCAACCCAACCTTACAACACCAGCAGCAGCGTGGTCTTTGGAAGGCTCACCAAGTAACTGGGTGGGGCTATGCAAATGAGGTGCTTGCTAATGATGTAAATAAGGTGCATGGCATCCTCGTGGGGGTGGGGCCTTGCAAACAAGGTGTACGGAACCCTAACCAGGAGATGGGTCAGTTTTGCTGCGCTGGGCTTAAAATGAGCCCTCCCCGAGGTGGGCAGGGAACCTCGCCAGCGCCAGGGAAGAACCAGGAATGGAAGGGGAGTGGGTTCTTTGGACCCAGCTCTCCGTGCTGAGAACCTCCTGGGCCCAGGAGAGAGAACGCACTTTACACCGGAGACGTGGCGACCGGTGGGAGACGCAGTGACAGAGAGATGGCAGCAGCGGAACCAGGACCGGCCCGAGGCGACGTGGCGGGCTTCCCGCCCCGAGGAGTGAGAGCTGAGTGCCTTGGAACAGGAGGCGTGCTGGCACGGTGAGGGGCCGCGCGACACTTACTGGTGGACTTACAGAGCTTTGTAAAAGGAGCTCTGGTGGCACAAGGTCGGTGGTTCAAACCCACCAGCCGCTCCACAGAAGAACGATGGGGCAATGTACTTCTGCAAAGATTATTGCCTTGGAAACCCAATGAGGGTCACTATGAGTCGGAATGGATGGCAGTGAGTGTTTTTGGTTTTTTTAACAGAGCTTTGTAGCACTTGCCTAAGCAGGGCAGGGGCTGGGTTCAGGCCTCAGGGCAGGGCCTGACAGCACAGCTGACCGGAAGCTGTCGGGATGGAGGAGTCACTCCCGAACCTGAACCTGAACCTGTCATTTCCCCAGTAAATCCCACAACTGTGCGTGTGGCCTTTGTGGTTGTTACAATGAATTATTGACCTCAGCGGAGGAGGGAGTGCGGTGGGTGGCAGGGGCGGCTGGTGCCAGGACCGGTGAGAAGGTCGCAGGGGGGACGCATGTCTGAGCCCCGCCTCATGGGAACCAGCCTGGCTGCTGCTGATGGAGTTCTGGGCCCCCCGCCTCCGCCCACGGTGCGAGCAGCGGCCCCGCCTCCGGGCCCCGGGCCGAGCGGACGCGCGCCTCACCTGTGCGCGCCTCACCTGTGCGCGCCTCACCTGTGCGCCCGTCGGGCCCGCATGGGCCACGGCAGCTCCCGCGAGGGGCGGGCTTCCTGCGTGTCCATCGGGGCGGCTTCCGCGGAGGCCTGGCTGCCCCTCGCCTCCTCGTCCTGCTCCTCCAGGGCTCCCCAGGGCAGCACCCCAGGGCCTCGGTACCGGAGGGTGGCGGCGCTGGGGAGCTCGTTCAGAACGGTGGACAGGGACCGGCCTGGGAGGGAGGGCGGGGCGGGGGGACCTAGTCCGGGCTCCTCCTCCTTTCCCCCGGGAGCCTGGGAAC